TGTGTTCAGCTTTATTTCACCCAGCATCTCCTACCAACCTGTGGTGTCTCTGCAGCGGCAGTACGCGCTGCTGGGTGGATTTGTGCTGTCAGAGAGGTAGTTGACTTGGCACAACTCCCAAATTTGCTGCTCTTCAGAACACAAGTAGCTCTGCTCTGTGATAAAAGGGGCAACGCAGTAGGCCATCAACACTAGCTAGGACTCACCTTAAATGTGCTGCAAACATCCAGACTTTACACCACCAGCGGAAATGTGAGTTGAGGCTGATTTCTCAAGCTTCCCTGCTTGAAGTCAACCCCGGAGCAATTGTTCCCAACCTGCATTCAGCTTTGAGGTTCATTGCTTCTTTTAGACTTCAAAGACTTGTCTGAAAGCTTGCCTGTACTTCCACTGGTGTTTTCTTCCCCTTAGAAAGATTTGTGGAGAGAATCTAAAGGTTCATGTGAATTTTACTTGTTTCCTACGTTACAAGGATTAGTTTCCTGTTTAGTGATGATGTGAAGAGGCACGAAGTGAGATTGGGAGTCCTTGCTGTGTACGTATAGCGTGCTTGCAAAGACTTAAAAAGCAGTGGCTAGCACATGGGTCCTGCTGCTTCGTTATTAATGGCAATAGCAGTATGTATAGCGTACTTGCAAAGACTTAAAAAGCAGTGGCTAACACGTGGGTCCGTGAGGAGCAAATGCATGCCAGAAAGCTGGGGGACCTGTGCTTTCCTGGCCTGTGGCGTGGTCCAGACTATTGCCCTGACTAGGCTTGCGGGTATCTGGTGGTTTGGGAAGATTGCTTAGCTATAGAGATGTGCAGTAACGTTGCTTCCTTGTAAAAGCCAGCTTGCTTTACAAATGGAAAAAGCTGAGAAGGGAGGCAGAGTTAAAATGATCAATGCTGTGGTTGGTAGCAATGTTGGGAAGACAAATTCCTGATGTCTCCTGGTGTAGACCCAGTATACGCTAGTCTCATTTTTAATCTAGTTGGATGGGGGTTCTCTCACATCTTGTGCAGCTCTGTGTGCACTAAACTCAACTTTTGATTCGTTGTAGGTGCTAAAACTTAAATATCACATTTCTTGTTTGCTTGATGCATGCATAAGCATGCACAACTTTTCTTAAAAAAAAAAAAAAATCTTGAGTGGACTGATCTGTCTGAACCATGGTAGCAAACCCACGCCTACAGCTGGTGGGAAAACTGAGTTGACCCTGGTGAGTGGAGACACATTTTGAGAAGAGCAAAGGAGACTTCAGCCTTTCTCCAACCCAGCCAGCTGAGCCTGTGGCTGTGCACGCCGTGGCTTGGCTCTCTGCAGGGCTTGGAAGAGGAGAGGGGTGCTGCAGTTGCCGCTCAGCCTGTTGCTCCAGAGCCCTGCTGTGCTCCCAAAGCACAAAAGAAGCAGTGCTGCTTCAAAGAGGACTTCGTCAGCTCCATGAATTTTCAAAGACCTGGTGCTTCTTTTATGTGGATTTAGCATCACCCCTAACCTCTGGGTCACAGCTACCAAACAACTCTGCCTGTTTAAGCTCCGGTAATTGTGGCTGGATTTCTGGTTTAATTTGGAGACAGCCTGCTGCAGCTCTGCACAGTAAATGCCCTATTAAGCAGTTAATTATTTCTCTATAATACTAGCTTTTATCTTTAATGCAACAGTTTTACTGTCTCTGATAATTACACAGTCTCAGATAACTCTCTTAAATCTAATGAGGCATGACAAGCTGTGTTCAACAAGGCACCACACCATTAACTTCTTACCTCTTACTTGTCATCTTATCACACTGAATTACTGTATCTCTAGCCTGAGTGGCTGTGGATACATAACATGTCACTTCTCATTAAGACAATAATGAAAATCATCCCTGGTGCTCTCGCAGTTGGGCCAGTGGTCAGCTGGCTGGCCTGGTGGCCTGCAGACCCCTCCAACAGCTCCTCTGCAGCGTCACGCTCTTTGTGCCATGAGCTGAGCAAGCTTATTAGTTTCAGTTTAAATAAGTTCTGGCCACTCAAACGGCTTGGTTGGCCCATGGATCTCTTGCTTGTGGGTGGGTGAAATGCAAATGGCCCTTTGAAGGGCGTCAGTGATGATAGACCTTGTTTGTGCTGATGGAAGTCGTTGCTGCAGGGATATCTCATGGTGGGATTCAGCTGGATAAGGGAAATCAGGTGTTTTTTCTGGACAGGGATAGGACACAAACTGCTGCATCAACGCCCTCTGTAACTTGACATGACTGCTGCTTCGTTATTAATGGCAATAGCAGATCAGGTCATTGGAGTGCTGGTTTTCTGTGGATTTGAGAGCGGCACTGAACCCTGCATGTGCCTGACCGAAGTCCTGGGGTTAGGGGGATCATCTTTTCATATATCGCCCTGTCACCTTGCCAGTAAAAGAAGTACAAAGTTGTACTTCTGAAATGTCGAGGCTCCTGGCTGGGATGTTCCTGCATCCCTCCAGGCTGGACCAGGAAGGCATTTCCCAGGGGAATGAGCCCAGGCTGTCTCTAGGGGCAGATGGTAGTGCTCCAGCTGGCAGCCTGAGTGCTCAAGTACAGCTGGACTGAACAGGTCAGTTAATTACTGTCTAGATGCAGAAGAGCAGAGAGCCCTTTGTTTGGAAATCAGCTGTATCCAGCTAATGTTTTGGTGCTTCTTCCCAGCCTTTTGTGAGCCTGCTGCTGACTCTGCTTTTGGAGGTGGGTTTGCCTTCTGGTATGTGGAGCCTGTATGAGTTGTGCTGTCGAAGCTGTGTGCTTTCCCACCGAGCAGGGGAGGAAAAAGCCTTGTTTCAGGTTATAACCCGAGTCATTCAGGTTCCCTGTGGGTATGTTACGGGATGCCCACGGGACCAGCTACTGTGGTGTGCCTGGATTAGATCAGTTCCTGGCTCTAAAAGGGCAGTTTTTACTTGGACAGAAGTTGTTAGCTTCTCCACAGTTTCATTAACTGAAAGACTAACCAGTGGGCGGAGTGTAAATCTGGAAAGAGAGCTGGATACCAAGCTGTGTTTAAAATTGTGCTGGCCTTATCAGAAGTGTTAGCGATCTAAAATGGACCAGAGGTGTTGCTTGTGCCCTGTTTGTCCCATAGGCAGGAAGGAAACTCAGGTCTATAAAAGCGCGTCTCCTTACCCCCCTGGAGAGCAGGCAGAAGCATGTGGCTCTGATGTCCCTGCTTTCATCTGTGGCACTCTGTGTTCCCGTCTTCATGTCCCCAGGTCGCCCTGGGAAGCGTCCTCATGTGCCAAGAACTGTCAGCAGTGAAAAAAGTCCCTTTGGCTGTAAATTTGAAGGCAGTGGCTGATTACACGTGGCTGGTGGGGATGAAAAAAGAATAGCTACGGCAAGTGGGATGGTGTGTGCCTGTTCTGGCTTTTGGTTGCTTTGTAACGGAGCAGAGTAGGCTACAGGGCTCCCAAGGGTGAAGGCTTAGTGATGATAAAATAGATTAGCTCATGGTCTGTTTGGGCTTCTGCAATCTGCTTACTCTTCAGTACTCATTGCAGTGATCTGCCTGGTATCGGGCACAGCTGGGATGTATAGAAGGATTTGGTGATTAATGCTTACGATATGTACTCTTGGGGTGGTTTCTCTGACAGGGTTGTACATTGCACGTTGATTCATGCTCACATGTCCTGCTGCTTTCAGGCTCCTGGTTTCGCTAGATGGCACCACCAGGCAGCTGCTCTGCTCGCGTCCCTGGCCGGACTGTCAGGAGTTAGAGAGGGTGCACTGAATTATTATTTTTCTGAATTATTATTTTTTTCCATTTCCCTCCAAAAAAATGTTGCAGCTCATTATTTTTAACTCTGAATCCTGTTCAAGCTGGCAGTGTGTTTGGGAACTGATTGTGGCAGATCTAACCTGCTGTCCATCTTGAGCTCGTTAGCACTGGTGAGGAGGAGAGTGGTTCCAGTGGCCAAGGTGAGGTTGCGGATCTGCACCCTCTGTGTTTGCCTGAGGTTTGGAGGCAGCGTGCTTGGGGCAGCAGCTGTAATGATGGTGTCTCTAGCTCTAGATGTAGCTGTTAGCAACCTTACTACAAACCAAGACAGTGCCACTGAATGCCCTTTACTTTGGGGGGGGGGTGTTCTTCTGATTAATAAATCTAGTGTAGTGGAAAAGCCTTTTACAGCTCTGCTTGTTCCAGAGCATTGGTATCTATAGGTTTAAAGGGAGAACAGTTGGCCTGGTAGCTGGTACTTTCTAAAACGGGCTCCTAGTTGGAATCACAGCAAAATAGTCAAAAATGACTTCTGCATGGGATGTGGTACTTGGTACTTTTCCATTAGCAGCTCCTATTTGCACATGTAAAAGCTGGTTGAACCCAAGGAGAGCATCGCATCTCCGACAACCTAACTGGGACCCTTTGAGATGCTTCTGCAGTGCTCAGCCCTTACTCTGAGCAAAACTAGGTAAAAATCCAACTTGCTGTTATCTCCAGGTAGTAACAAGAGAAAGCTCGGAGCAGCAACTGCAATAGGCAGCACCAGAGGACTCCTTAGAGGAAGAGAGACCTGAAGGGCTGCAAGGAGAAAACTCATCTATGGCCAGAGGGACTTCATCATAGAATAGTTTGGATTGGAAGGGACCTCTAAAGGTCATCTAGTCCAACCCCCCTGCAATGAGCAGGGACATCTTCAACTAGATCAGGTTGCTCAGAGCCCTGTCCAACCGGACCTGGAATGTTTTCAAGGAAGGTAGAGTTGCTTCAAATATCTTTTTCAGGGCGTATGGTTAGTAGTACTGAAGCTATGTGTCTCGGACTACTGCTCCCACGGTGGTAGCCAGTGGGCATGCAAAATAACTGCGTAATGAAATAATGTTTTAATACTAGTTGGCACAAGCTTGGAGCCATGCCAGCTTGCAGAGTTGCGGGGCTTGGCACTGGTACCTTTATGCTGGAGATGTGTGCAAGGTCCTGCTTCCTCGAAGGTCCTCTGGTCCTGTTAGCTGCAAGGAGGAGGTGGCTTTATTGTGCTGCGGTGGCTCAAAAGCTTAGCGGACTCTTGGACCATGTCATTTCACTGTCACTACCATAATTTCAATTTGCCTGGAAGGCTTATCAGAGCTGGTAGGTAGTGGTGAACCCTCCCTAGCTTCTGTCAGGTCACTTCTCATGGCATGCAAATGCTGCTGCTGAAGGATGCCAGAAGCACACACCTACCGCCTAAACACCTCTGCTGTTCATCCTTCTGACCTGCAGGTGCATACATTCCCTCTGGTCACTTTGGAGCTGGGTCCTTTGGCTTTGCTCAGCTTTAGTCTGGCAAATCCAGTCTGGCCAAAACCCAGTCAACACAGGTTCATGAAAGGCAGGTCCTGTTTGACCAACCTGATCTCCTTCTATGACCAGGTGACCCGCCTAGTGGACGAGGGAAAGGCTGTGGATGTGGTCTACCTGGACTTCAGTAAGGCCTTTGACACCGTCTCCCACAGCATTCTCCTAGAGAAGCTGGCGGCTCACGGCTTAGACAGGTGTACTCTGCGCTGGGTCAAAAACTGGCTGGACGGCCGGGCCCAGAGAGTTGTGGTAAATGGAGTTCAATCCAGTTGGTGGCCGGTCACGAGCGGTGTTCCCCAGGGCTCAGTTTTGGGGCCGGTCTTGTTCAATATCTTTATCAATGGTCTGGATGAGGGGATCGAGTGCACCCTCAGTAAGTTTGCAGACGACACCAAGTTGGGCGGGAGTGTTGATCTGCTGGAGGGTAGGAAGGCTCTGCAGAGGGACCTGGACAGGCTGGATCGATGGGCCGAGGCCAACTGTATGAGATTCAACAAGGCCAAGTGCCGGGTCCTGCACTTCGGCCACAACAACCCCATGCAGCGCTACAGGCTTGGGGAAGAGTGGCTGGAAAGCTGCCTGGCGGAAAAGGGCCTGGGGGTGTTGGTCGACAGCCGGCTGAACATGAGCCGGCAGTGTGCCCAGGCGGCCAAGAAGGCCAATGGCATCCTGGCCTGTATCAGAACTAGTGTGGCCAGCAGGAGCAGGGAAGTGATCGTGCCCCTGTGCTTGGCACTGGTGAGGCCGCACCTCGAATACTGTGTTCAGTTTTGGGCCCCTCACTACAAGAAGGACGTTGAGGTGCTGGAGCGTGTCCAGAGAAGTTGAACGAGGCTGGTGAGGGGTCTGGAGAACAAGTCTTATGAGGAGCGGCTGAGGGAGCTGGGGTTGTTTAGCCTGGAGAAAAGGAGGCTGAGGGGAGACCTCATTGCTCTCTACAACTACCTGACAGGAGGTTGTAGCGAGGTGGGTGTTGGTCTCTTCTCCAAAGTAACTGGCGAAAGGACGAGAGGAAATGGCCTCAAGTTGCGCCAGGGGAGGTTTAGATTGGACGTGAGGAAAAATTTCTTTACTGCAAGAGTGGTTAAACATTGGCACAGGCTGCCCAGGGAAGTGGTTGAGTCACCATCCCTGGAGGTATTTAAAAGACATGTAGATGAGGCGCTTAGGGACATGGTTTAATGGGCATGGTGGTGTTGGGTTGACGGTTGGACTCGATGACCTTAGAGGTCTTTTCCAACCTTAATGATTCTATGATACTGTTTCTGTGATACTAAATGCTGAGGGTCCTCCAGATTTTTTGACTGATGTTGCATTGAAGATCAGCACAGCCCGCACACGTGTATTGGTTCAGCTCTGCTTGTTAAGGTAACCTCTCTAATTTTCTTTGCAGTAAAACGATTTAAGGAACCAAAGGAAGAGAGGCGTCCCTGGAGGATATGGTGAGATGTTTAATCTGGAGCTTGAAAAGACCATGTATCTGTAATATTATTCTCTTATACTAACAATCTTCTAGGCTGTCTGAATATCCTGCATGGTATTTAGTCATTAAATGAAATGCTCTGCCGCCACTTCCCAAGGGAAACCTCCATAAAGTAGCTGGTGCTCCCTAGAAGTAATATTCCCTGCCTAGCTCCTCCAGAAAAGCTTGTTTTTGCTGTAGGTGACTGAACTGAGAGGTTATGGTCCTCTCCAATCTGCTGGCATACCTGCACATGGGCTGTCTCCCAGACAGGGTCAAGTTTTGTTCTTAAACTTGATTAATCACTTTGGTGTCCCCTGACCCAGCTCAGGCATAGACCAGGCAACGTGTTTGGCTGTGTGTTGATGTAAGGTAGCTGGGTATTGCTGTCAGCTTTGGACACCTCTACAAAGCACCTCTGTATTGTAGGATTTACTGGCCGCCAAGAGGTGGGCGTATGGGTGGGCTCAGTGTACGGTCAGGCTGGCTTGGCAGCACAGAGCTACCAGCCAACGTTAGTGATGAAAAGCCTGTTAGTCTTCTCAGTTTGGTTCTTCCTCTAAAATAATTTGGGAATTCAATCCAACTCCCTGTGGACAGGTGCAAAAATCATAAGTAGCTGAACACCTTCCCTGCACCTACTGCTGGTTGGAGAAACTGAGGCTGGGCTGGGCACTGGAGGGTGAACTGCCCTTCGCTGCAGGCTAAAACTCAGCAGCAAGTGTCAGGTGCAGGTCTGCAAGACTGAGCTGCTACGTGCTGAAGTGCTGTCTTTTTTCTTAAGTATTTGGAGTCAGCCAAACTGTCTGTTTTCACCATGTACAACTTCTTGGGCATCATGAATGCATCTTGGAGGAAAGCAGATCCATGCAGGGCCTTCACGTGGGTGACTGCTGGGTTGCTGGTTCTCCAGGGCACAGATCTTTATGCCTTTTTTTTTTGCCTCCAGGTTTTATGATACCTCCAAGCAAGCAATAGGTGCCCTCTTCATCCACTTTGCCAATATTTTTCTGTCGGATCTCACTGAAGAGGACCCTTGCTCTCTGTAAGTACACGAGGTGCTTGCATTCATGTCCTACACCTGTAAAAGGAGGAAGCAAGCCTGTTGGAAAATGTCATATATGGTGGAAACATCCATTTAAAGTACTAGGTGGGGACAAAGCATGCTGAGCTTATTTTCAGGGTCTGGGTTGTCTCCTGGTCTTTGTAGTCTCCTGGTCTGATGGAGATGAGGCAGCGCGACTGTGCTTTTCTGAGGATTAAAAGCATCTTGAAATATACTGGCAAAAAGCTGCAATAAATGACACAGCGCTGCTCCACGCAGTTGCAACTGTTAAATACTGCGCCATTTGTTTGCACACCGGACCTTGCAATTTGGCTGGTCTCAGAGAAGTATTGAGAATGCTTCCCTAACTGTGCGGGGGAAGGCCTTTGTCCAATGTAAGGATGGTTGTTTGGATATTTGGTTGCACCTACCGCCTGTATTCCTGTAGTCCTGTTTGGGGGCTTTCCAAGCCAGACTTCAGACTTAACGTAGAAGTACCACCTTTACTTCAGACCAGCCACTTCACAGCTACGAATTTAGTTTCAGAATTAACTTTATCCTGTTTTGAGAAACTCCTCTAGGCTTCAAAATGCTGCTGAAAACCTTCTGGCCCATCTCCTTTTTGTATGTTAAAGTGCTGCACCTTGATACGTTTCTTTAAACAGACACAATTTTGGCTTGGGCTAAATATAACCTCTAATATCATTCATCATTGTTTTTTAAACAGATGCTGTCTTAAAATAAACCGTTTTGTGCTTATGCTGTACCCTTCGGTTTCTTGGGTTTTGGTTGGTTGGGTTTTTTTTTCCTTGTTTTGTTCTGTGTTTCCCTGTGCTGCCTGACTTGTCATCCTGAATCAGGCAGCTTAAAACTCTCAAGCCCTGTCTCTAGGCTTTGAGGCTCCATATGCTACGTGTCCTGCCCAGTGTAAACCACCAGAGCCTCATGTTTGTATCGGAGTACTCCGACTTCAGCAGCTGGAAACTGTAATAAGCTAGTCTGAGCCTTTGGATGTAGAAAAACTTAATGTCATGTTTTCAAAATGGATATCAAAAGCAGATTGTTATTTTCAGTGTCTTTATGATACTTTCAGAGGCAGTATCAAGTTCTGGAAAAGGAAATGTTCATTCCTGTAGCTCTGTGCTTGGTATTTTCTTCACACTGTAGAAATTTGGCCCAATCGAGCAGAAAATATTCCAGTAATGGAAAACTGGCCAGAAAACATTAGTCTGAGTGATATTTTTTTCTTCTCTTCTCTGGAGTTCATTAAAATACCAAGCCCTGGGTTAGAGCTTGGACCCTGCAATCCCCAGAAGGTCCCTGCAGGTCTCCTGCTTCTGGCGCTCTATCCAGCAAGACTTAAATATCCAAAGCTGCAGAGCAAACCCATCAGGCCCAAATCTCCTGGTGGGGATGGGTTCAGCTCCTGGATCTGCAGTGGGGACCCTGAACTGGAGGCTTTTAGGGACCCCAGGATGCCTCCTGTTGAGCCAGGGCTCTTTGCCTCTCCCAAGACTTTCCACCTCTCAGTCTGCGTCTCTGCTCATAGGAGCCTCTTGCAGCTGCTCAGTAAAATAGACTTTTTGCCTCTTCTGCTGCACAGTTTGCAGAGCAGCTGTGGTGTCCAAGAAGCTTCCATTTTCTTGTATGAAATTCCGAAAATGTTTGGTTCTGTTTCCCTGAAACTTGGGACTTCATCCTAATAAGAACAAAAGACGCTGCAAATGGAAAGCTTCTTTTTTTGGGGGGTAACTCTTAAGCAAGGCTAGCCCAGGAAGTATTTAATGCTTTATGAATAAATGAGCAATGCCAGAGAGTTGGTGGAGCCTGCTCCCTTCTCTGCTGAACAGGCTTTTAAACTAAGAAATTGCTGGTAAGGCTATAGGTAAATCCAATAAAAGAGAAAGGAAGTGAGCTTGGACTATTAACTGGGGATTTTTGGAATCTTGGTGGGTTTTTTATGGATTCCCATAATGAAATAAAAGACTTTGAATATGACTTAAGAACACAACTGAAACTTGAATTTTCCTCTGCTCTTAGCTACCTTATTAATTTCATTCTTGATGCCACGCTGGGGATGCTGCTCATCTGGCTTGGTGTGAAAGTTGTTTCCCGGATCGTGCAGCACAAGAAGTACACGTACCTGGTCTTCGGAGAATATGGTAGGTGTCAACTGCTCTGCACAAAGGTGGTTCATCTGCCGTCAGCTGTGAATGGGGAGAAGAAAAGGGCAGAAACTACAGTTTGGGGTTAAAACATGTGACCAGCCTGCTTCTGTTATCCCCTCTCCAAGGAGCTCACTGAGCGTGGTAGCGATCAGCGTGTTAAATGCTGGGACATCCCTAGGTTGCAGGTAACTCTGCCTGCTGCCTTGCCAAGCGCTCTTGGGCGTAGCAGGTTGGCGACGAAAGGTTAAACGTTTCCTTGGGTGGATTTATACCCCAGGACGTGCGTATGATAAACTAAGGTGTTTGGGTGTGGTGGTGGTGATTTTTGTGGGGTCCTTCCTAGCCTCTCAGTTCAAAACATGGGTTTGTTCTTGAATTTGCCTTGAGCTATAGTAGGCATCAGCAGGACACAGCCTGGCCCCAAAACTGAGTTCTCAAATGACTTGTGGAGGATTTTTTTGCCACCTGATCTAAAAAAAAAAAAAAATTAAGTATGCCCAAGTCTGTCCTTTCTCTGCTTTGATTCCTGCCTTGAGATGGAGAAAAATAGTTTCAGAAAAGCTTTTCTCAGCCAGCCCCACTAGAGGGTAGCACTTCTCTTCAGAAAGAGCAGACCCAGTGCTTCTCCGTGGCTGCAGGAAAGGGAAAAACTACCCTTTTGCCTATTTTAAGTTATATCTAATATAAAGATGAATTCAGTCTTACTTTCGAAAATATATCCTATTCATACTAATCACTCCCCTACCTTTAAGACCTTAATCATTCTGAAGGTAGTCTCATTCCTTTGTATTTTTAGTAGCTGTTCTAATAACTGAGCTGGTGGAACTTGGACCAAACTGAGATTAGTGCAGAGATCCCACTGACTTGTGAGCTTTTACTTAGGATCATGTTCAGCATATGTAAGTGGGTCATGGCACAGGATGAAGGGGATGGTTGAGTTTGAGACAACAGAAGCAGCTACAGAGTCAGAATGAGATGACAACAGATGGGTTGAAATGATGGGACGTGGTAGAGCTGGCTCTCATCAAATCTGAGGGCGGTTTTAAAGGTTGCAGTGGTCTCCAGAGCAGGTTCAGCATCCTGATGGCATGCATTTGGTGGGGACTACCTTTTTTTTTTTTCCCCCTAATGGCTCTTTCTCAGAGCTGAGGAGCCAAGCACAGAGCGCTGAAGTCATTCAGATGAGGCAGCACAGGAATCCAGATATTCTTGGTTCAGGGACTGGCATTTTTCCTCTTTTGAGCAACAAGGACTTGAAGCCCAACTGCAGCCATCCCAGGGCACAGCTTCACGTACCACGTTTGCAGTTGAGCAGAAGCAAGGAAACGTTAAAGTGTATTGACAGCTTGCTTTAACCTTGCAGAGCAGTAGTGAACATCCGTTGAGCTGTCGCTGGCCCCTCATGAAGGCTGGCTTAGACTACAGAAACAGTTCACTCCTCTGAGGAAATCTTGCTTTCGTTAATAAAAAAATGTTTCTGCTGTTGCTTGAATTTAGCTTTTGAATTGGGGATTAAATATCTCATCCACTGAGCACTGCTCTTCGTGCAGGTCACTGGCCAGAGTGACCACGATGGAAAAGCTAGATAGCAGTCAAGTGGCATGTCCAATGCAATCCTGTGTAGGGCTAGGGAAGCAAAACACTGCTGTCCTCATCTCGGGTGTTAAGTAACTTCCAAAATAGTTTGGAAGATGCTAGTAAACTTTGTACAGTTTGATACAGGCTCCAGAAATATGATTCATTTTCTGGTCTAATTGCTGTACCAGACTTTGTTTCTTTGCTCAATTCTCCTGAGGAGCAAAAACATCTCTTGCAGTCCTGCAGAGGAGGAAGGGCAGAAAAGCACCAAATCCATGTTGCAGACAGTGGTGAGTGCTATTGGTCCAACCATCAGGAAAGAACAGTTGTGTCTGTCCAGTATAGCCAGTACCCATCTACCTGCGTGGTCTTCGAGGAGGAAAAAAAAAAAATCTGCTGCAACTGCTTCCTTTCTGACCCTCCAGTTCTTGGTTGCGTCCCTGCAACTGATGCAAACCCCTGCAGTTATCCTTTGTTTTGGGCTCCAGCAGTCCCTTCTGCTCTGCTGTTGGTATGCCTGTCTCCACAGCCCCGAGTGGTTCTCCCTGTGTGCCTGCAATAGCTGCATTAATGGAGAAGCAGAGAAAAGGGAAGGGAAAGCGCCTAAATCTACGCTGCTATTTTAAGCATCCAGCTGTCCAGAACTGTTTAGGAAAATGTATTACTTTCATGTTTCAAAAAAACAGGAGACAGCCATTCTGAGATCAGCCTCTCTTGTGCCTGAGCTCTTAGCCAAAGACTGCTGCAGCCAGGAATGACCTGGTTTTTAGCTAGTGGAGTGTCAAAGGCTCCTATATGCTTATGTTCCTCCATCTTTGCCCAACAGCTCTTGATTACTCTTTGGACTGCATCTAAGCACAGGAAACTGCATTTTAAAAGGCTGCTGTCTCTTCTGCAGAAGCTTGGCTCCTAAGATCAAAGATTGGAGAGGTTTGTTCTTCATCTTGGTTCAAGTAGGCTTTGGAGAATGATGGTTGCCTTACACATACTCAAAGCTAACAAACTCCACGAATGCTCTATGCACTGTTGCTCTAGCAGGGTAGCAGCAGGTCATGTCTATAGGTGCTCTCACTGCAGGGGGCTTCTGCAGGGAGGAGAGCAGAGCAGAGTTTAAGCTGTAAAGGATTTGGGAGGTGGATACCCAAGGTCTTGGGGGTGCTGCTGGGCCTGTACAGACTGAGCAGGGGAGATGCTGGCTGGAGTCAGGGTGTGCAGATGAAGTCTGGTTCAGTTTTGTGCTCCACCTCCAAACTGCTCCAGGCCTCTTCTTCCTCACCCGTTCCCATGGCAATAAGTAGCTCCCTAGAGGGAACCTCTGGATGGCTGTCCTGGCATTGTAGTTGTGTCTAATAATACTCCAGTATTTCTAAAGTAATACTTTAGAGTTTCTTCTAGGTAAGCAAACACTATGAATTTGCATTAAGAGATGGTTTCTGCAATGTGCAAGTAAAATGCTGAAGAGGAGCGTTAAGAGATGATGGGGAGAAAAAGAGGGTGCTCTTGCTTGAAAATGCCTCTCTGGATGCCCATCTGGGTGCTGACTTGTGTATGACTGTGGTTGTGGTCGCTGACTAGTCTAAGCTTGACAGTTTGTGCTCATTCACTGTCTGGAAATGGAAAGGCTTGTTGCTTGGAGGCTTTTAAAGTCTGTTTAGTGGCCTGTTGAACTCTGCTGGTCAAATTTAGTTGTAGGAGAATGTACTCTGTGCCAGCTGCTGAGTTTAACTGAGGACTGTGTAGGCTGCTTTTGGCCCTGTTGTGATGTTGTACAAAAAAATTCCATAACAAATATTCCCACGTCCTGAAGCAGCCAAGGGAGCTGGCTGCTAATGCTTGAGGAAGTATTGCTGAAAATAGGTCTAACCTGAGGGGCTGTCCTGTCCTTAGCATGCTTGGCCTTTCCACCTCCAGGACCAGGGAGAAAAAGTAAGGAGAGGACTGAGGGTCATCCTCAAATGGTGAAGTGCGTGGTCAGGTCCCCTGCTTTGAGTCTTTGAACCTTCCTGGATCTGGCTGGTAGTAGCAGGGTTTACCCCAATGCAACAGCAGTATCTCCAGGGACCAAAGACCCAGAGCAGCAGTGTGACGCTGCAAACTGGGGACTGATTCCAGCTGTACACTCTTGTATTTCAGATGCAGAACATGCCAGAGAGGGTTTGGGATGTCCACTGGACCCATCTGGCTGCTCTGATGCCAACTGGTTCTGCCCATAACTGGTGCAATTGCTGATCGGGTCCCAATCTCTGGAAACTTGTTCTTGCCCTCAAAGTGAGCGCTTCTGTGCAATTCATATTCTTTCCTGTTATGTCTTACCCTCCTCTGTACTTGGCACTGATAATTAGATCCCTTGGTTTTGGAGGTACTGTTTGAGTATCTCTTAAGAGGTTTTTACTGACTTTTTCTATCCCCACCGTGTCACCCAGTACAACTTTCAGTGCTTTCAAATATTCGCTTTTCCTCAACCCCCCGAACCCTCTGCTGTGGCTGCGGTTAGCTTTTTTCCTACCTGCTCGGTGCTCACACAGTCCCCAAAAGACTGTAAATAAAGCTGTCTGGCAGTAACGTGTGGGCTATGCTGACAGCTTGGTACCTCAGACAGCCTGGATTAAAACTAATCCTGTTGTGCGGTAACAACTCAAATATCTCAAGCAGTGCTGCTTTTGCTCTGCGAGCAGTTGGGCTCCCACGCACAAGCGGAGTATGAGACACGTGTTTGTGTGAGGTTGCTGCAGGCACCAGTGTTCCTAGGTCTGCACCAAGGAGGTATTGCTGGTGGTGGGGTGGGGAGCACGAGCAATGCTGCTGGAGGAGAAAGGTCTCAATGCAGTGTGTGCATCCTTCGGGGTGAAGGGGGATATTTATTTCTATCAGGGTGGGAGGTGGCTATAAGAAGATTTGAGCCAAGGGTGTTCATTAAGCTAAAAGGAGAGGCTGGTGGTAGAGTCACTGTGTAGAGCTGAGATGTCCTGGGTTACCTCCCAACCAGGAGTGGGGACAAGAAACTGGAGGTGTTCCAAGGGAGCACGATACATGTAATCTCCTAACAGGTGTGATGTGGTGGAGGCTGCAAAGATACTTTGGACCTGTTCCCCACTCTCCTACAAGGAAAGGGAAACTCTGAACACAGCAAAGAGGAGAGCATCTATTTATTTATCTTTTTTTTTTTTAGCCTCCAGGTAGCAGATTGGTTTTTGCTGGCTGGCAATCTTGTATGGCAGGAACAGTCCTGTAGGCACTCACCTAGATTTATGCAGTGGAAACACTTGAAGTGAAGGGAAGAAGAATCCTCTCCCCATCCATGGAGCAGGGCACCTCAGGGCAGCAGCTGGTCCATTAAAGATACTACGTTGCATCTCAGGATGCCTCTGACCATCTTGCTGTAGGAAGCCAGCACCTAAATGAGGTGTGTGTGGTTAGCTGGCATCAGCTCAAGTTTTCCAGCCTTGCTTCCTAACTGTGGGAGGAGATGTGGCCGATCTGTCTTATGGGCTTGTCCAGGGACCATACCAAAGGCTCCCTCTTACCTGATGAGATGCTGATAGATGGTGACTTGTATGTTACTGGCATTAGTCAGAGATGAATTAGTGGTGAGTTAGACTTAGATGATGGCCACTCTGAGGTGGATCAATGGTCCTTGGATGACTTCAAACCTGCTGAGGTAAGGAGCAGCCAGCTGAGCTCCTTGGTGAAGAGGAAATGAGCCACTGTCTATTTAGAGCTGAAGTTATCTTTGCAGCCCTGTAGGCCATGCTGCTGTTTTATTTTCATCTTTGTCCTGAGTTGTTTTGGTACTGAGCAGCCTCCTGTCCTTGGGAGACCAAGATGCAGTAAAAAATAACTGTGGAGACACCCTCCGAATTTCCTGTCAGGGGGTGGAAATTAAGTCTTGTCTAATTCTGAGCTCCAGGATGGATTCCTGTACAGAAACATCTCATCCCATAGTCTGAAAACAAAGCTCAGAATGGAAAAGGAGGAGGAATAGCTTGCAAAACAGTAGTAATTTTGAGCTGCTTAAGGTGGTAGAGCGGATGGAAAATCTGGCCTCTGCATGGACCTGTGGGTCTCTCTGTATCCTTCCGCTGTCTACCCTGGATATGTAAGAAGTGCTGATGTCCCTCTAACTGTGGAGGAGACTCACAGCATCTTCTGTAGGTGATGCAGAAAAGACCAGAGTGAGAAATATGAATATTTGAAGCTCCATGCCGTGATGGAGGCACCTTTGACAAAGTGGGATGTGGTGGGTAGTAAGGGGTGCAGGTCTGTCCTGCTTGGTAGTGCAGGCTTGCTGCACCACTTGCACGTGCCCTGTACGCTTAGCCAGTGAAGCTGGCCTAACTGGGGCAGACCTTTGGTCTCGGAGAAGATGGGCAAGTCCATGCCTAGGGTGAGTTAAGAAGCAGGTTGTCTTTTCTAGAGTCTGTGTATCAGCCAAAACCTGGCTAGGGCTGTTCTAGTGCACAGTACACAAAACTAAGAACCATAGCCTGCCGTTTGTGATGATGAATGGTAGTGACCTCCTATCCCCGAAAGGGTGTGAGAGGGCAGGTATTTGGGAGAGATCTCAAACTTGCTGCTGCTTTTTGGGCAAGCTGAGAAGACAGAGGGAAGTGTTCTGCAAGTGCTGTCGTGACTGCAGCGCAGAAGAGCCGACTTGAAAAGGGTGCTGTGGCTGTTAGTCCCATCTCCCCACGGGGGACGGAGCACAGCTGACAAACCAGCGCAAAAGGGAATGTGGGAAGGACACGATGGATATGCCTTCCTGTTTTGTTTGTACTCGGAGCTCTGATGGGCGATGGTAACCTGGGGGTTTGTAGGAGAATTGGTCGGTCTTGGGGTATGGGGCAAAAAGCCCCACTATACCTAACCTGTGCCAAAGACAGCTAGGCACCTGAGTCTATCGGGAGAGGCTGTCCATGCTTCAGGAGGATCAGAGCCCCTCTGACACCGGCCTTTAATTGCCAGCTGCCTATAACACTGCTCCAGTCTCCTCCACAGACCACCCATTAAGCTGTTGTCTGCCAGGGAGCAGAGACGTGTGCTTTCTGAAATCCTCTGCGGGCTCTGCTGGTTGCACTCACACGTAACCTTCCTGGCTCCCTCTTCCCTCCCCTCCTCCATACAGTTGCCTGCTGGTCTGGCGCACTCTCCTTGCTGTCCGCCCAGCTCAGCAGCCTCTCTGCACCCCTGGCCTCCCAGTCCTTCCCTCTCCCCTCCTTTGCTTCCTTCTCAATCATGGCTTGAGCAATTAAAAAGCTGGGATGCAAGATGATCACTCTGAGGTCTCTGGCATGGAGACACTAGCTGGATGCCTCTACTTCTCGGCTGTAGCTTTTGCAGCAAGGCAAATGTTTTGGTACGTTGCTAACAAATGACAGAATAAGGACAAATATACGTGCAAACCTGTTTTGCCCTTGCTGGGAAGCAGATCCCCCTAAAGCTGGGCTTGGTTGGATACCAGCTCTTACTAAATCCTGGTATGCGCTGCTGGTCTCTGGCCGGAGGTTTGCATAGTGGTTTGGATAAATGCGCTTTTGCAAACTGCCGGTGTTGTCTTCCCCTGCCGCATCTCGACAGTACTGTGCTGAGAAAAGTGGAGCAGAGCCCCCAGTCTGCTGCCATCCAACAGCGTGTCGAGCATCAGCATCTCGCAGTGGGTTGGGTTCTCTTGCACAGATGCAATTCCAAATTCCGGCCCGATTATGCTGGAAACAAGCATTGCCAAGGGTTATCTTTATATTCAAGTGGTAGGAGGAAATGCTGAAGCTTTCCTAAGCCAGATACTGTAGCTCAGTTTTGCAGACCTGAGATATTCTGATGAACCTGGGAAGATGATAACCAGCTGGCAGGGTGCTTACAGAGGGCTGAAGCAAGCACATGTAATAGATATGCTACCATTATCGTTGTTAACAATACAGATATGCTTTTACTTACTACTTGGTGAGTACTTCATTGGAAACATTCATATTTAATTAGCATTGATTCTTTTTGAGTGAACTGCTCTAAAACCTGGGGTGATGGAGCCCCTGTCTCTTTCTCAGACAGCAAGTATCACATAACCAGCTGTTCACTGCATCAGCGAAAAAATTAATTCTGTTTAGGACTGAAAATTTATCCTTTTGTATTGAAAATGGTGACCAGAAATTTTCAGACCACTGCTGGCAACTGTGTGGGTAAGGCTTGGCAGGGAGCAAATTGCAGGTGATGTCTTTAATGATTGATTTACTTTAATTTTTTTTATAGAGTGTGCAGGATACTGACTGCTCCTTGTATAGAGGAGGATCAGTCCAGCAGTGTCTTTTCTTGGGGAGTGCTATTGGGATTAGCTTTAATTCAGAAGGGATTATCAGTCTGCCATTCTGGTCAAAATGCTCCAGGATTTTGTGAGCTGCTCCTACGAGGCTCCTATTCACTGGAAGCATGGGGAAAAAGTCGGGAGGACCCATCTCTGCAGACTTTTCTAGGTTTGCCGAGGTGAAGAGAAATGAAATCTCTGGTACCTTGACAAAAGGGTACCAGAGAAGGAGCAAACCAAATGACTGATGCCCCAAAGCAACACATGCTTGTAAGGAACCGTTTGAGTAGGATGCTGGGATTTCTGAGCTTTCAAGCTTTCCCTATATGAAGGGATTTTAGTGGTCTGTGCTTTGAGGAGATGAGATACTTCCCCGCCCTTGCACAAGCAGGGCTTCCTCCCCTCAAATCCTTGTATCCATCCAGCTCAAAGTAGCTCAGCACCATGGGGAGGATACTGGCAATATGCCCATCAGTGGCTGAAGGAGAGGGGAAAACATGCATCTCCAAGGCTGTGTATCCTTTCCCCCAAGCAGAGGAAAGCATATTTGTTATCCAAACCAGGCTTCATAAAAGTTGATCCAGTCTCCTTAGAGTTACAAGGAATGGCTTTTCCCTTAAGCACCTGTGCTACTGCTGGGCTGTGGCCCTTGAAAGCCCAGGAGTGTCTGCGAGTGCTGGGGTTGCTGGATAAACTTGGGGAATTTCAGGTCTTCAGGCAGAGCCAGAGCTGTTTCTCTCCCCTCTTACAAGAAGCTGCCTGCCTGCCTTGTAGGACACTCGTAGGACTTTTGCTCCAGCAAAGCTGTTGATCTAGGAAGGACAGGCAATGGGGGAGGAGATGCAAGGCAAGAAGGTTTTTGGTGGTGGTTTTCACCTCTTGGTGGATTTCGGAGGCAGGTTGGTGGAAAGGAGAGCAGGACAGGAGGCAGATAAATACACGTAGTGTTAGCATCTGCTAGGTAGGTAGGGCTTTTTGAGTTGTGTCTGAAATTTGCTACTTGCTTGCCCTTCAAATTAACCAGAGGTCTGGTTAATTGACATCTACATTTCAGAATCAGCCCTAAAAGGAGTAGAAAAAGAGAATCGGCTCCTAGAACAAAAGGCCAGTGGTGGTAGTGGTGTATGTCCCGTCTCATGAGGGAGAGCTCTCTTGCTTACAGCCAGGTTTAATTCAAAAGTATGACTGCTGTATGAAAGACAAATAGCTGTCCTGATGAAGGGAGACTGCACAAATGGAAGTGGGGTGCAGTCTTTTGCCTTTCTGCTGTTCTCTACATCAGTTTGCAAAGATGCAAAATGAGCTGCAACTAGTAAGGGATGCAAGTCTGCTAGATTTTCTCTAATACAAGTCAGATATGTTGTGTGTTTTTTTTAAATTAGAAAGATTTGAGCTTGGATCTTGGTATGTTTTGATCTTCAATGGAGTAATGGCTTCTAGACCCAGCCAGGGACACCAAACCTTTCTACCCCAGGCATGTGTTCCTACAACTATAGGTAGAAAATCTCTCCGCTAATTTTAAGTTTGGTATTGAGTATTTGTCTCGGTGCAAGTTTTGCAGTATGGAAACACTTCTCTGTCTCTCTAATCAGCTCAGGTATCAACCATGAGGCAACTTTTCTGTAGGGCTGTCTCCTCCTGTCTTCTGTCTTGGATTTAATGTGCTGTTTTCCCAGGTGACCCTCCACAAGCTGCTGCCTGGATTGGCCAGTGTATCCTCTACTTGCTGATAATGGTTTTTGAGAAGACTGTGATTAGCCTTGTCCTGCTCATCCCTGGTTGGACAAAGGTGAGCTCCTGAGCTGTATTTTTCTAGCCACAGTTGCTGTGGCTTGTTTCTTGTCAGCTTTGCCTTATTAGTGGTCCCCATCATCATAGGTCTTTAATCCTTATGACTTGTTGACATCTCTCTGTAATCATTAGCTGTTACTTAAGTTTGGGGAAACATGACTTTCATAACAGTTTGGCTTTTGGTACATTCTCTTGCTAGTCAAAAGCTAGTGGAATAAGATGCTGCTTTAATTTTCTTTTCCATCCTTAGAAGGATAAAATGGCCTGGGCTGGCAGCTGAGCTACTTCAGTTCTGCCAGAGGATTTCTGCATTATCTCACCAAGTCAGTTCATGCTGGTGTTTCCTGATCCCATGCCTAAACTAGGGGGACTCTTAGAGGTTAATTTGGAAAGAACTAGCCCAGTAGTATGCTGTCCTTCCCCCCTCAACTGCTTCTGTATGGTAGCTTATGCAACAGTAATTGTGTTGATCATGAGTTTCTCTTAAAAAAATAAGAATAATAATCCTGTGGCAGTCGTGGCCACATACCTGGTGGCAGGTAGGTGTGGTGGGTATGGAAACCAATTCTGAGTGTTAATGGGTAGCTCCAGTATTGAGTGCATTTACAGGTAGTGCCTAGTACCTCACAGGCTCATGTGACTTGACTGAGGAGTTATTTACAGCAATCTGGGAGCACTTATCTGTTCCTGTTAAGGGCTTGTCCTTCTAACCCAGTAGCCGACAGTGCTGACTTGTGCTGAACAATATGTTCGTGTTTGCGCTGCTATATCCAGAGATGCTGCTGGATTCCTCTTCACGCTTATCACGCGTGGCTGGTGTCCTTATTTTGCAGCTAGGCTCCAAGGAGCCAAGAAAGTCCCACCAGTTGTCACAGGTAGTTAAGCTGAAAGACTAGCACTACTTATTTCTTGATCTGTACAAAATCCTATGTTTGGCAGCTGGGCTAAAGGAATAGCCCATGCAATCTTTCTAAGAGCTGGACTAACGCAAAGGCTGCAGAGCCTTAGCTAGGAGACTGCTGGTGTAAGAAAGCAACCAGTTTGCAGCAAAGATCTCGCAGCAGAGCTGTCCAAATAATGCCTCTAAATGCTTTTTCCTCTGCAGCTTCAGCAGATCCTCCTGGGTTACATCCCAAATCCCCAGCTGGAGCTCGTCCTGGTCATGCTTGTTGTGCCTTTTATAGTCAATGTAAGTGATGCCTTTGTAAGCACTAGGTGGGGCGGTTTGGAAATTATGGGTCCCCCCCCAATGGGGAGTGTGTACAGGAACTGGCTTGGGGCAGCCTTGAGTAATGGAAGTGGCTGGGACAGGGTGGAGGGGAGTGGAAACATGTATTTGTTGCCATGAATACACAAATATGTCACTACTGCTCTGCTATGGTCTCTGTGCCTAATCCCTGCTCCCTTGTCCAAGCTGCTGGGTGGCTGATTCTTTGAAGAAAGCTGGGGCTCATTAGCTGAGGGCTGCATCTCAGCAACAAGCTACAGGTGTGGGAATGCCCCAAAGCCCTCTAAATTCCTATAGGATGGCTTGTGGGTGGTGATTTTTGGCAACCTGCCAATCTGGCCATTTGGCTAGACTTCAAACTGTGTTACAGCAAGGCAAGGTGTTCAGGATACCCAGAACTATTGATCTTCGCAAAACTAGTTTGGTAGAACCTCTTGAAAGTTCAGCTTTTTTGTGGTTCCCCTGATTCTGGGTAATCCTTGACCTGCTGCTTAGTTCCTGCTAAGATGGGAAGTGAGAACATGGTGTTAATATTCAGATCCCCCCCTGGACAAGGAATGAGTCAAACTCTTTTCGGTTTATCCCATGAGCATTGCAATGGATGCAGCATTGGCAAAGTTGGGTTTACCTGCCTGTGCTACCAGCCTCTCTCCCCACCCCAGGCTGCATTTCCTTATTTGAAAGGAAACTCTGGTTCTCAAAGAACTGACAGGTGACTGATGCAGACAGAGCAGGTGAACCTGGGATGGAGCTTGGCTCAATGGTTATTTCCTGGTGGAAACTTGGCTTATTGTGGGTTTTTTTGGTGGGTTTTTTTTTCCTTCACTATGTCTTCAACAGCTATGGAAATAGGATTCAAGTGAGAAGGGATCTCAGGAAGTTGACTCATCCAACCCCCATGGACACACTTGATTCAGGGCTAATTTAGATATTAAATTAGGTTGATCAAGGCTGGACATCTGGAGAAACCAAAAGGAGAAGAAATAGCTGTGATTGAAAGACTTTGTATTTTGGTCTCTGCAATCTATTCATGCAACTTCTTTCCCCCCAAGGCCATTATGTTCTGGGTTGTGGACAGCTTGATCATGGGGAAATATAAGCAGAAGGATACCCTGGACATCAATGGATCCATAGAAACTCCTCGGGCTAGGAAGACTGAGGAATCTCAGGTAAGACCGAGGATGTCCTGTGTTGGAGACCAAACTGCAAGCTTGTGGTACGGTCTATGTGCTTCACCACAATCATGCAACATACCATCACGTTGCCTAGACCTAGGGTGATGCTTTATGCATGTGAACGATGACCCTGCTAAGTCAAACTGACTTTTCATGCTTGTAGCTGATGTCAACAGAGGGATGTTTTCTGGGATGGTCTGGCCCTGTCTAACAAAGAGCAATATTACATCCTACGAAGCGTTGCTGAAATATCGCCCTAAATGATGACAGTATCTTGTGAGGGATGAGCTAGCTTTTGCACTAACCTGTGTGGGCTTGTTGGAGTGGCAGGCTGAAGCTGGTGGGTACCTCTCCACCATCTCTTTCAACTTTCCCATTTTTAATTGTAATGAATCTTGGCTTAGAAGAGCTTGCTTTCCTTACTGTGGTTGGTAGCATCCGTTTTAGAGGACAGGGCCTAGCTGGGAATCCTATTTTTGTCAGCATTTCGTATTTTTGGGTGGGGTTTTTTTGTATTTTGGGGTTTGGGGTTTTTTTCAGCCAGATGATGGTCCCTTAGCTGTAGGAAGCTGTATTTTGTCAAGCTGAGCTTGACACTTAAGTTATGGGGGGTAGGAAGTGCTCCAGTTGCAGCAGACTTTGTTCTTGTTAGTGACGCCTGGTTTGCTGGGCAGGTGGCGTCTGTGCTTCTCATCGGCTTTTGGGCAGAGATCACAACCTGAGTCGCTGGGTTGAATTCCCTTCCTTCCCCTGGCACCCAGACCCTGTTTCAAAGTGCTCTGTGTACGACTGCTGATATCTGCAGCTCACTGGTGAGACTCGCTGAGATAAGATAGCTTTTGGCAGTTGCAGGCTGGCTCCTGGAGTAGCTTCTGCCGAGGAATTTAGGATGAATAGAAATAGCTCTTGCTTTCTGAGAGCTCTTTTATAAAGAGTAACTCTGCTCTTTTACCGATGGGTGGGATGGCCAATGACTGGTGACGTTGCAACGCACACGGAGGTAATAGTGTTTAACGGTGTGCTTTGCAGTCTGCACAGCAGCGACAGCTTCCACGGCTCAAGGGTGCAATGGGGAAGCGGCCGCTGCTCATGGGGATGTGGTGTTGGAGGCATCCTCCCTCTGGCAGGAAGGGCAGGCAGATATGAGCAGCTGTTGAGACAAGTGAGTCGCTCCTCCTGGCCTGGCCTCCAGATAAACAGTTGTAGCTTGGCGAGGTCACTAGAAACATGCGAACAGTGTGCCCCAGGGAGTTTCCCAAGTGGTGTCTGTGGTGAGGGCATCCTCGAGAAATCTTCTGTTGTATTGGAGAAAGGAGGGAAGAGAGGCCTGAGCTGAGCAGTACCAGTATGGCTTGATAGTTGTGCATTGAAGCTAAGAACTCATATCTGGGATGTGAAGGTGGATTAACTCCGGGTGTGAACGTCTCCCTGGTTATGGCGCAGTCCTGGTTTCTTACTGGCGATTGATGTTCGAGTGGTACTTCCTTGAAAGAGCTAGGTTGGAGGTCTGCTCCAAATGTGAAAGTGGTGGTGAAGATCTGTCTTACTGACTGGATATGCCAGTGTGTTCCTGACGGTTTAAGATCAGTTAAAATTACACCAGCTCAGAAACAAGGGTGAGGAGGTGGCATCTCCAGTTGAGACACCAATCTTTCAAACCTAAACTTAGAGTATCTAGTCTTATAGGTGGCGTGCTGCTGTGGATACACAGGTGGTACTACAGTTAATGGTTTTTCATGGAAATGGAGCTGATCCTCTGCCTTGCTCCACTGCAGGTGGGGCAAGTGTTTTGTGGCCTCTAGCTCAGTTTTGGATAACCTGTTAATCTCCAGAAGCTAGGAAAGGCTCGTCTGGTAGCTCAACTAGACTGGTTGTTTCAAGCAGTGGAAACTGGACTCCCACAGTCTGACTCTTGTTGTCAAAGGTTTCTTCCATCTTCCAAGTACTTGACTTTCTCAGACAAATTCTGCTGGGACATTCAATGTGTAGGTCATCTGTCCATCCTGAAACCCTCTGATCCATCGCTGCAGTGGAGCTACCAAGGGGACTGGTTTGTACCTGGAGCAGTCTACAGGGACTGCCTCCTTTCTGCTCAGACATGTTCCTGGTGCCTCTGGCCCAACAAATAGTTTGGGTGGAGAAGGCAGGTAACGAAGAAATACAGAAGTGGGTGACCTGCTTTTCTAGCTCTATTTCTTGGCACTGGGCCTTGAGGTATAGCTGTAGGCTCCTGCTTCATGTGTCAACTTCTTAGGCTATGAATTGAAGATTATGTTGGCTGGCTGGGCCTTACAGCTGGATTGGTTGGAATTTAGGCTCAAAAACAGAAAATGAGGGTTTGCTGGGCTAGTTGCTGCTAATAACCTGTTCAACTGGGGGGGTTTCTTCCCTCCCTGCTGCCCCATGGAGAGGGAGGGAGACTGAGAAGTATCTCTGTACAGGGCAGGGCTGGCTGAGGCTAATGTGTCGTGCAGTTTATCAGGGTTCATCAGGGCTGTCTAGCAGCAGGCGCCAACAGCTCCCCATCATGCTGCCTTCTTGAATTTCAATGCTCTGCCTATCTTGCCAATAGAGAGTGTCATTATTTTCACTCAAACTAGCAGTTTGTGCTTGGAAAAGGAAGGGGAGAGAGGAAGGAGAATGGAAAGGGCGGGCTGGAGTTAACCTGTCAAAACCCCACACTCGGTATTTTCTGTAGGGAATAGCAGGAAAACACGGCTTTGTACCAAACATAGGCTTGGTAGACCAGCTTGGTAGCAACCAGCAATCCTGCCACTGGTGTGTCACTCACTGACTCCATGGCTGCAGTGCAGACCAAAGAACTGGCAGTCTCTTGTGGGCTTTAAGGCTCTTCTGGCGAGCCACAGATGTGATGATGGGCTCTTGTAATGGAGCAACTGCTGAACTTTTTTTACACTGAAGCTCTGAAAGGGATAAACTCACTCTTATGGCTGGAAGAATGTCACCATTCCTTCCAAGGCAGTCTAAAGCTTTCTGTTGTTTCAGACTTGTGCCCTGCCTTGGTAAATCTTCACGCAGTCTTTTTTTGCTCTCTCGTGGGACGGAAAGAGATCTCTCAGGGGTGCCAGTCTGAATCCAGTGCAGTTCAGGCTGGGGAAATGCATTCATTTGCATGGCCCTCATTTCTGCTTTGTATGTGTCCTGCCCTTGACCCAAGTCTCTTTTCCCTTGCCCTTGCAAATGCCAATAAACCTTAGATCTTATCAGTGATTTCTTTGTTTCCTCCACTCAGGAAAACAACTCAGTTTTAATAATGTTTTATTTGATCTTTTTTTGAACTTGTTTCTAGTTTTTTCCCAAGGGCGGCGTGTGAGTTTTCTGCTCCTTTCCTGAAGGCTTACATTTTCAGAGACAAGCCTTTAAGCAAAATTTGGCCTAGTAACAGTGGTACTTGTGAGACCATTAGGGTGAAACTAGAGGCTAGTTGAAGGTTGGGAGGAAAGCTAATATACTGCGTGGGGACCTGCCTTTGGTCAGCATGGAGTTCAGCACCTATCCCAATTCCCTTCAGAGGAGCTGTGACTTTTGGCAAATCCCTAGGCTGAAGATGCTGATGAATGCCAATACTTATGTTGCTTGCTTTTAAGTACTGAAGAATACTCCAAGACCAACTTTGACTTGCTGGTTGCTTAACTGAGCTGATCTTTAAATAGCTCAAGGTGAACTAAGGTGCCTGGTCCTTACAGGGAAGCTAAATGAAGGTGGGCATAGAGGTGCCTCTGGAAGGAGACTCTCTCACCTGTCAGCCCTACTGACTCATGGGAACTTACCTAAGCTCAGATGCAGGAGGACGGTGAGATGGTTCCTACCTCCACACCAAGCTGGTGGAGCTTTAGGCAAACACGTTTCCACTGCTAGCAAGGAAATGGCCCCAGAGCTTCTTTGTTTTACAACCTGTGTCACAGTTCTCATCTGTCTGTGCAATCTCTTTCTCTGCTGCTGAGATGGATTCGTTATCTGAAGGGTCTGCTTGGATGGAGTACCATATCAGTAGTCTTCCCCCAGACAGAAGGGATTGGCCGAGCACATGGGCAGCCCTGTTTCGGTAGTGTGACCCACATTGTTTTGCAAGCTGCTGGCCTCCTGGTGTGGGGAGGAATGCATGAAGTCTTTGAGGACTGCTGAGTGAGACAGTAGCACATTGTCCCGCACTGGGAAACCGTGGCCCATTCCCAGCTGTGCCACCGACCCGCTGTGATCCTGACCTGGATGCATCTGCAGGGGAAGCGCCTTGTCCAAGTTGTGCTGAAAATTCCCAAACTGGAGTTTGGCTTGAAAAACATACCTGAGGGTATGTCCCATGACTGTCATAGCGATGAGGTGCCGTCTCATGATGAAGCTCCCTGAGGAATTGTGGAAAGGTTACTGGGGGACTGTTGGCTCGAGTGCTTGGTACAAGTTGTATGGTGGGCAGGTAGCAGCCTGAATGGGTCTGGATGCACGACGCTTAGTGCCTGCTCAGTCAGCCACACTTGGCTGCAACAGGATTGGAGTTTGCAGCTGAAACCCACTGAAATTACCAGTTCATTAGGCCCCAAAACTAGCCTGTTGCAGCCTGTCAGAGTTCAGTGAGTTTATAATGCTGTGTGTGACTAATTATCCACCCATTTTTTCAGGTTCAACAGCATCACAATATTAATATGATAAATAGAGGAAATCTTCACTTGGAAGAAATGGAAACTTTCCAGGGTGTGTCTTGAACCAAAAATTCCTTGAGAGCAGTGGGGGGGACACAAGAGAGCTTAATCTGATCTACTGCTATCCTTTGAGTGTCTGACGTGCTGCTGCGACGATAACATCAGATGGAGGGGCTGGAGTGTGCGTGAGGGTGGGGAGGAAATCTTCCCCTGTGGCTCTTCTATTCCTTTGAAGTAATTGACTCATTGCAGTTTGTTTTTCCTGTTTAGTCATTTTGTTGCTGTGGTGACTGGCCCCATGGTGCTGCCTAAGTGCTAAACAAGTGGAGGGCATGTTAATTCACAACTGTGCCTGGAGGTAGCCACAGATAAGACTAATTCCCCCACGCTCCTGGTTTAGCCCAAGCTCCAGGACTGGCTGAGCTGTTGGGGACACTCTGCAGGCGAACGTGCTTGGCTGAAAGCCCCTGCAGCATCCCTTGACTTGTGCCTTTGAGCTGGAAGGCTGCGGTGAGTCAGGCACGGGGAGGTTTCATAGTGCATTGGTTCAGTCTTTGGAGCAAAGTGGGGTCAGATGGGGCTGAGGCTTGGGTGAGAGGTCTACACTGCCTTGCTAGAGGAAGCTATGTTTGTGGGGGTGGTTGTGGTACCTGCCCCTTGTCCCTGCATCAGCCATGAACTAATGATGCTGTTTGGGTTCTGTGATGGGCAAGTGGAGGAGGGGGAAAGGGCTGCTGGCATTGCTCATCTAGGGAAATAAAACTGGAGGCCCTTGACTGTGTGGTGTTAGGCTTGTGCCCCTCTGTAGAGTTGGGGGCTGAGGTGCCAAGGACCTGGCCAGGCTTCTGGTGTGGGTGACTAGTGTTTACTGGAAATCCCATGGTTCAGCTGAGATCCTGAGAACTGCTGGGCATGACACAAGCTGTTGCACAAGGGTTGACTGCACTTCAGCTGTGCTTAGAGGTAGCTACTGACAGGGGTAATGACAGTAGGGCTTCTCTTGCCCAAAGCTGGGTGTTTGAGGTAAGAAGGGGTAGGATGGGGTTGAGCAAACAATCTGTCAAGCCATGAATATTACCCATGCAAATTGCTCATCCATCCATCCTGCTGGCTGGCATTGGGTTTCAGCTCTTCTGCAGTCACTGCAGCCATAGCCCAAGTAAAATCCGGCCTTTTTCCTCTTCCAGATGATGTGGCTGGAGGATGCCCCACGCGTGGCTCCGTCTGCGTCGTGCAAACGCTCCATGGCCGGTGGCAGCCAGTTAGCTCAAAACAGCCTGTTGGTAGCTTCAAGTCTGAAGTTAGCTACTGAGAGCGTAGGTGTTCCTGGAGGCAATGGGCAGCCTTTTGATCATGCAGCAAAGCTGTGGGCTTTCTTACCTGGAGAGGTACTGGTGAGAGGTGTCAGTGCTCTATTTTGGCTCCCACAATTCAGACTGAGCCAGGAGCTGCTGTGCCAGGTAGAAATAAGGTGCTACCAGGCTAGGACACCACTCCTGAGCTTGCTGGCCATGGCTGAAGCTAACACTGTAGCTCTGCTTGCTCTTCTGGCTGAGCTCTGGAGATAGCAAGCAGCTTGGGGGCCTGGGAAAAGGTCTACATTTGGTACAGCTGTTTACCAAATATGTGGCCTCGTTTTTGTACATCTCTGCTGAGGCTGCAGCCTGGCCTGAACATGCATGTCTACGTATGAGCCCTGTCCCATGGTGAACAGAGCTTTTAGCTGCCTGTTCTGCACTCAAGGGGGTGGGGGTGGGGGGGCTGGGATACCAGGTCATCACAGTGTCTGTGCCCAAATCAATCTGGCTGTCATTGGAGAGATGGTCAAGGTGACCTTGAGACCTTCCCCATCTGCCAGAGAGGATTAGATCTTGCAGCAGACCCCTCTAGGGGTATTTGACCCCTCCAACAAGCAGTATCAAGAAGAGCTGAGAACTTTCACTCCATCAGCATCTGTCTGTTCTCCTTTCTAGGTGTTACTCTCTCCAGACATGGATTTTGATCAGTCTGAAAGCGACCAGGATATTTCAGGACTCCAGGGAACGAACCAGAAGATGAAGCAGTCCAGCTATCAAGTGGTCATCTGACAACACCGAGACGAGGTGGAGGAAGGGAAGTAGCACTGTGATCCTTGAGCTGGCCGAGGAAGGGCAGGGTAGGGAATGCTAGTTCACCCCTATGGATCTGCAGAGATCCTTTTGCCTGTCTCATCCAGACCTATCCTTCTGCAGCTGTCTCTTTGGGATGGTATCTGTGCCTCCTGTACAGGCTTGAGCAGTATCTGCTTTACCTGTCTGACCCTAACCTGTACACATGCAGGCACGTTGAGGTTAGGGGTATGGATATGTACTTCCCCTGGCTGGCCAGCTGGGTGTAACTTTTTGTCAGGGCTAGAGACTGAAATCAAAAGATTGTCTGCTATTTTTATAGAAAAGAGAAAACAGAATCTATCCTGTACTACCTGAACTGTGACACTTTTATATGCACAATACTCAAAAGAATTGGTTTGCAATATGTATTTAAATGTCTTGAATTGGGAAGATTGTCTCAGTGGATTTGACGCTTTTTACTGTTTTATAAGGAATGCAATAAATATTTGACCTAAAACTGCTTCATAAATGAAATGTCTTCATGTGCTTAATGTCTTGCAAAACTCTAACACTGTAAAGGAGAGGAAGGGGATCTGTTGAAATATTCCCCGACCAGTTCCGTGTAGGGCAGATTGTCTTTCTGCAGTAAGGCTATCCTAGTAAACCTACAGAAGAAGAGCTGAGCCGCAGTGCGGAGTTTCTGTAGGTGGGTTGTATGAGCCACTTCAGTGCAAAGACCTGATGCTGCAGCAGCATCAGCCTGTGCTGGACTCCAGACCGGAACAGACTCGGAGATCGATCCCAGTTGCCACCTTACAAGTGAGTCTTTACCAGGAGCTAAAGTTGACTACTTTCCTTTTACCTAGTTTAAAATAAACATATAAAATCTCTGCAGGACCTGATTCAGAAACTAGATCTGAAGAGTCAACTGAAGCCCCATTCACCAGCCCTGATCTTCTGGGGGTAAGGGAATGGCCTCAGGTAGGACTGCTGCAGGAGAAGACCCCTGGGTCATCCCAGATCTGGCACCTTTTGCTCCAAGTGTGAGGTGCAGGGCTTTGCCCTTGCTCTCGTGTTAACATATTGTATTCATCTATAAACACACAAAAATGCGAAACACTTTCTCTCTCCCCAGGAGAGCTGCAGAGCACAGAGCAGCTGCGTAATGCACTCCCGGGCTGGGTGCAGCTGTAATGAGACCCATACAGAGTCCAAATGGTGGATAGTCCTCACAGCAGGGCCTGACCCAGGATCCACTGAACTGAACCAGTAGACTCTGAGCCACAGACAGATCTTTGCTTATTGCAAGGCAGTCCCCAGAGGTGTTGGGCAGGAATTATCTTTTATTTTTCCCTCCCTCCCCTTTTATTTTCCGAATAAAATACACCTTATTAAGGAGTAGAAAATAAAGGATTTGGATTTTCTAACCTAGACAAATTTAGACTTTTAAAAGCTGAGCTGAGAGCTTGTGAAGCTTTTTGGTTTTGTGGGGTTTTGGTGGTTTTTTTTCCCTAACTTCAAAGTAGTTCAGAAGCATTAGATGCAAATCAAAGTCTTGCATGCCCCTTAGTGAACTAGACATGCTTGGCTACACTTGCAGCTGTGCAGCCTTATACTGTATGTCTGGAAATTAAGTCCTCTTTTGTTTCTTCCTTAATGAAGGGTCAAAATCCTACTTGTGCTGACACATCAAATGGTTTTTGGAACTCATGGCACACAGCTCTCTAAATAGATCATTTATATTGTTTAGTGAAATCAGTTTCACAATGCAACTTTTGCTTGTCTGGTGGAGTTCTGCCCTGGTTAAGGGCTGGAATAACTCTGTGCTGTTCAAGGTCTTGACTGAAAATAGATTAAAACAGCTTCCCTATTAGAAACTTGCTCCCTATTTTGAAGTCTGCTGGTATTCTGGGTTTTGTTCTTGCTATAGGGCTTCACAGTGCAATGCTGCAGTATGTGAAGAGTGCAAATTCAGCCATAGCAAAGTCCTTGTCCTAAAATGGAAGGTGAGTGACGTGATCTTTGTCTTAGCCCTTAGTTGAGGCTGGCTGAGAAGGCTCATAATAGGCAATAGCAGGGCAAGTATGATGCAGGGAAAGGTTGTCCCTCTCGAGCATTGCGTAGCCAGTGCTGTTTCAGTAACTCTAAATTCAGGAGTCCCGTTCCCTTGGCTGAAATGGTGGTGTGCAATTGTTTCCATTGGGCTCCAAAGTGATTGCTCGGCCCTCATTCCTGAGCTATCTGAGCAGCTTGTAATCTTTAACTGTATCACAGCAAAACAAAGTGCTCTGTGACACTCTTGGAGATGAGAACAAACGTGTGCTTATATGTGCAGTTGTTGCAGTATGCTTCCTGGGAGCTCTCTGTGCTACACAAAAGGCTGTGAGGACCAAGCCTGGACACATTCTGCTTCTGCGGGAAGTGGTGTGATGCCCCCTTTTTAGACGGGGAAAGCTGAAGTTTACAGTCCATGACCTGCCTTTGCTCTTACTGCTCTTGGGGCAGCGGGAGCACAAACCCTGGTTTTCCATGTCCTGTGCTACTGTATTTAAAGGTTGGATCAATCTTCTCTATGTGGTTAAATTCTTAGTTTAGTGCAAGAGTAGACCCCTGGGTCTGTTCACAACACTTCTCGCTTCCTACCAAGTGTATAGAGGCTGAAGAACATCATTGACCTTTAATTTTCTGCTGAAATTACTTTAGTTCCCAACTTACTTTTATCTTGTGAGTGGTTCTTTCAGCCATCTGGTAATAAGAGCTTGTCCAGCAGCATAAAACATACATAACCTTAGTTTCAAAGCCTGTTTTATCTTTGCCAAATGAAAGCTTCACTGCAGTGTTCACTGTAAAATATTTATTGTGAAATGGTTAACTGGAGCCTTAACAAGAACTTGAGTATATTGCTCCAGGTGCTTCACGTGGCTGGGAAGTTGGACTTGATCACTGTTCTTTTCAGGCCCTGAAAGAAATAATGTTTCCTTGGCTGGAGGAGGAGGAAAAGGAGTAATGAGGCACCTGAAGCATTAGCAGTGTGTGTGTGTATATACATATCTATATACAGGAGAGATGAGATGAGAGGAGAACCTAAGCCAATCGCTCCCCTTAGCAATACACTTGAACAGCAAAATGTGGGAGGAGAGTGAAGATTTCAAAGAAATCTCTTCTCAGCGAGGACGGTATGAAGAAGATACCTGCCGAACCCTGGACTGTCTAGAAGTTCACTGCCACTATCCTGTTCACCTTGTGCTAGTGAAATGGGAGGTTATTTGGGAATGGGCTGGGTGAGCCTCCTACTGTCTGCTTGAGTGGAGAATTCAACTTCACAGATGCTTTTTCTCATGTTATTCCTGGCCCGTGAGCATTAGCATCTTAGGTTATTGCATGCTCGGGCCTGTGCTGAAGGTCTTGCCTTCAGTTCTCCCTTGCAGGAGAGCTATTTCTCAAGATAGCTGGGCCCAAAGCAATAGTTTTGTCTTTGTTTTGTTCCAAAGCATGAGCCTTGACATGAGTTTTGCACTAACTGAGCTCTCTGTAAGGGTTTTCCAGAGTGCAATTAAATCTAGCTGGTTGCTTTCAGCTGGTTCCCTCTTCCCCACAGCACATGGTGTGAATAAGCAACCATGCTTGCTACCTGCTCTGCTGCCACAGTGCTAGCAGTACTAACTAGATGATCAAACAACTGGAAAACCACCACCCCACCCCCAGCAGCTGGAACTCCTGCAGCAACAATATGATTTAATTTTTAAGTATGCAAAAAATCAGTCAAGATTGAACCTATTTCTGTAGGTCTTTGGCAACTCTGTTTTTATCCTAACACATGGATATCATTTAGCTCCTGGAGGTGCTTCCACACCCACCCTCCTTCCTTTCAGTTCTGGAAAGGCAGGGTATACATGAGCTCAATTTGGCCTTGTCATGTAAATGTCTTTGTGGTTGTCGAAGTCCTCTTTGGCTGAGTTCTCTACTAAGCAAACTCTCCTGTGGCTGATCTATAGCATTATTCAGTGATGCCTCACTTTAAAATAGACCATAGCCTTGCCGTTTGGATTTGGAGGTTTCTTTACAGAGCAGCACCACCTGCAGTGGGGGTGGCTGGCAGACCATTCTGTAACCTCCTGCTGCCAAATTC